TAAAAGAAAAAAAAAAAGATAAGAAGAAGAAACCAGAACCAATCCACATGGAAATAAAAACCAAACCACACACAAACAACATCTTATGTTGTGCTTATATAATTGTCGTTCTTGCTTGTCCATTTCCCCTTCTCTTGATGATTCTTAATTCTCTCTGTCCATCCCCTAATGAATCTGTTTGTGGGGTTCATCTACAAACTATATGATCCCCAATTGGAAAAGAACTCAAACTCATTACATTAATTCTATTTTTTTACTTCAAACTACATGTCTTGTGTTGATTTTTGATGTTTCTTTTTGCTGTCTTCTTGTTCGAAACCTAGGTGAGGAAGGAGAAATTAGGTGACAGAATTACAGCTCTCCACCAGCTAGTTTCCCCATTTGGGAAGGTAAAATTCCACAGTAATTTGCATCATAATTTGACTATAAATTAGCCAGCTTAAAATAGGGTTTAACCATTTAAGATTCCTTTAACTATTTAAGTTAGTCTTTCACCAAAACAGGTCACTCCCCCAATATAAAAAGAGAATAACTTTTAAAACAATAACCACCAAAACAGGTTTTCATTTCACCAACTTTTTCTTTTACTTTTTCTTCGCTAAAAACTCCTTGATAATGAGCTGTTTTTTCATCTCCATGTTGGTTCATGGACCCAGAAAGCTTCATCTCCCATTCAATATTTGGTAGCAAGAAATAAAATATATAAAAAGCTAAATATATACTTTAACCCTTATTCTTTCTTTTCATTTTATCTCATATTGTTTTAAAAGTTTCAACTTAGTCCTTCAAGTGTAAACATTTTCCAACTATACATACCATTGGCATGATGCAATTGACGGTAAGCTATTCAATATAGACTTGAAGAAGAAATTAAACGATTCCCAGAAGATCAAAAGTCGAAATAATTTCAGCCAACTTGCTAAAAATTTGTAGGAGAAATTAGATTCTTAATTTCCCTCTCTTGCATAGCCTAATTCTTCAACTGGATTCATACCACTAAGTAGAAGGATGATAGAATCAAAGAGACTAAATTGAAACGTTTTAAACAACATCCTACACCATTTAGCCTCCAGAGTAGAGTAGAGGAGAATATTCAGTAGAGGGCACAAAAGAAAAAGGAATTAGAAAAAAATTATGGGAGTAAAAAGGGCACATGGAAATATGAATTTGGATGGTTGTGGCGTGAGGCTGAGGTTGTCTTTTAATTGGTACAGACTGACACAGCTTCAGTTTTGTTAGAAGCTATTGGGTACATCAGATTCCTTCAGAGTCAAATTGAGGTGATGTTTCTTCTTCCCT